GTGGAGGAACGTTTGTTTTTGTACTCTCTCAGCTCAAACCAAACCCTGAACGAAAGTCTGTGCTGGAAACTGCTGTTTCATTTTCTCCTCTCTCCGGTGAAGCTAAGCTAGTCTAGAACCTACTATGTAGTTGCCAGGTTGGACTTGAACTGGAGATCTTCTTGCCTCGGCTTCTTGCGTTCTGGGATTACAGGTCTGCACTGTGCCATATCGGTTTGGTAATTCTGTAATTATAAATTGTCTGTTCGGTCAATGGAGAGAGAGTGCCCTCCTCTAGGCCACAGGTCCTGTCAGGGTCAGAACATGGTAAGTCTAGAAAGATCGGAAACATGTTTAGTGCTTGGGGCGCCATCTAAACCTTGGATAACATTAGTAGCTACAAGGTTTGAGCTCGGGAGCAGGTGCCTCTTTTACAAGGGCCAGCATGGAGCAGCTGGCAAATATTGCCTCAGGTAGGGCACAATAGAAGAAAAACAGGTTTGGGTGTCGAATGCAGTGCCCCAGCTTCTCCCCAGGTCAACTGGCTACTTGTCAACCACGCGGCTTTAGTCATTTCCTAGCATTCATTTGGACGAAGGAGTTGGAGATGGAACGTGTTGACCTGAGCAGCACAGCAGCTTCCGTGACGTTCTGGAAAGGGACTTGGTGTGAAGTTGGCAATATTTTCCCTGTCTGTCTACACACCCTCAGGGAAGTTGGGACCTCACAAAAGCTGTACATTCATCAGCTCAGAGCTGGACCAAAAACACCACCACCACTAAACAAACAACAAAACCCACAAGGATCAAAAGACAGTAGTAAGGAGAAGGGACACCCAGACAGGGTGGGAACAGCTAGGTGCTAGGCCTCTTTGTTCAGGATCAGACTCAAGGCCTTGTGCATGCTAAGCAAGCACACAGGATCCACTAGCTGGCACTCCTATTCCAGTAGGGCCTGCTTAGCCGAGTTCTCCCACCTCTGGTCCAGCCTCCTTTGTCTTTCCCATGTAATGCTCCTCGTCATCAGTTCCGCATCCCCTCTCCATATAGTGAAAGTCACTTTATGCACTCTCCCACTCTGTTCTTCCAACTGCTGTTTGTGAATTATGTAGTCAAATTACTGATGCTTTTTAAATTATCTTACTTGGAATGTGTATGTGTATGCACCAGTGTGCCATAGAGTGCTTGTGGGCGTCAGGGGGTAAGTTTTAGGATTTGGTATTTCCTCCCATCATATGACTTCCAGGGATTGAAATCAGGTCTTCAGGCTTAGTGGCAAGGGCATTTATCTCCTGAGACACCTCTTAGCCCTCATTGATGACTTAAGTGTGCATTCCCTTCATTAACTGACCCTACCTCCTATCACTTTCAGAGATATTTCCTGTGTGTTCCAGCAACTATACGCAGGGCCTCACACATACTATACTAGGCAAATGCTCTACCACTGAGCTGTATTCCTCAGCTCCCACCATATTTTCATCACCCAACAGCGTTATTTTTGACCCAGTAACTCAGCACTTTACACAACTCCACATTGAAGACTCCTGGTCACCTTCTCATTCTTCTAAATGGCTCTTAGGAAACACCTGTTCCCGACAGTTCTGCTGAGCTCCAGCCCCTTCATGTCCGTATTTACTCACACACCACCTTCTGCCTGGCCCTTGTACTCATCTTCGTCCTCAACCTCTCTTTCCTCATTACTCACTCATGTGATGAGTGCTTTCCATGCTGTCTAATTCCTTGTGCTGTGGCTTCCTCCATGGCCAGCTAGCCAGCTGCTCTTTGGCTGGAGCCACTCTTTGCCAGGCCTGTTGTGTTCTCTGCAAGTTCAGATGCTACCAGTGTGGCCAGACTGCTGGAACCAATGTGTCTTCCCTTGACCCCATAGCAACCGGCACAACTCTGAGCCCCTTCTGAGAGCCAGCCTCCATTTTCTCGCCAGTGTATTACTGATAACTTTCTTTAGGGGTACTTTCTCTCTCCAAAATTTCTTCCATGGGGTAGAAATGCTGAGGCTAGACACATGTGTCATCTGTTAAACCATATTAAAAGTGGTAATTAGAAAAGATGACTTTTTGTTTTGTTTGGACCTCCCAAGTGACCCGAACGGCAGTCTTTGGTCACCATGCAGGTTCATGGTGATGGTGGATGGCTCTGCTTACATCTTTTTCCATTTCCCTCCTTGAGGACAGCACTTCTTCAGTTCTTTACCTGGCACCACTACTCTCAACTGTCACTGTCTTCTTCCAAAAGGAGTACATTCTAAAAATCTCAGCTGCTACTCACCTCTAGGCACCTTCTTTCCAGTTTTGTGAATCTGATTTCACTATTATTTTACCCAAACACTGCCAACAGATTTAATCCTAACCATGACCCCGAGTCTCAGACACCTTTGATGTTTTCTAAGTAATCTTCATGGTGAAGTTTGTCTTTGATCCCACCATACCAATTGCTCAGTATCTATGCTCCTCTGGCCTCCACTCATCTAACGGCTGCAGGTCTACCTCTGCCTATTTGGTTTTACCCTAAACCTGTTTTTAATTCCACCATTTCCCCAAGGGATCTAAACTCCAGATCTCTGTCATCCCTATGTGGACCATCATTACCCTCTTGACTTCTAGCTATCCTTCACAACAGCAGCACAGGAAATGTTTATTCAGTGGTACTCGGTTTTTCCACCCACACACTCCAACTACTGTTCTCCCATTTGCCAGTGATTTTCTAAAAACCCTATGTTGATAACCGCAGAGGTCTACATTTCCATCTGCAATTGCTTACCATTTTAAGATACATTTTTATATTTGATTTTATATATAATTGTTTTGCCTGCATGAGAGTGTACATATATAAAAATGTTTTGCCTGCTGCCCTCAGATATCAGAAGATCCCTCATGCCCTGAAACAGGAGCCACAGTTGGCTGTGAGCTCCTCACCATGTGAATACTGGGAACTGAACCCAGGTCCTCTGTCACGACAAATGCTCTTCACCACTGAGCCAGTCATCTCTCCAGCCCCCCCGTTTTTTTTTCAAAACAGGATTTTTCTGTGGCTTTGGAGGCTGTTCTGGAACTAGCTCTTATAGACCAGGCTGCCTGACTCTGCCTAAATATGTATATTGTGTCTTTTGAACGGGTTTTATACATGAGGATAATACTTTAGAGCCCAGAAGGCATCAGATTCCCTAGAGTTGTAAACTGCCCAATGTGGGTGCCGGGTACCAAACTCAGTATGTGCTCTTAACTGGTGGGCTACTGTTCCAAACCCACAAAACCCCTTGTCATCCATACTTTCCTTTTAAGCTTTCTCATAAAAATAGATTCTTATGGAGCTGGAACAATAGCTCAGTGGTTAAGAGCACTGGCTGCTCTTCCAGAAGAACTGGGTTTAATTTCCAGCTCACAACAATTTGTAAATATGGGTTCAGGGGATCCAACACCCTCTTCTGGCCTCCATGGGCACTGCACACACAAGGTATACAGATATATGTGCATGCAAGACACCTATATGCATAAAATTTTTAAATAGATTACCATACATGTAAATTTCTCCATACTGCTTTTTGCCTACTTAACAATTTTCTTTCATTTTATTCTGTCTCTTTCAGTATTAGAGGTTGAAACAGAGTTTTACACATGCCAAGCAGATACACTATAACTACTAGTGAGCTATATCCACAGCCCAAGTATACAAAATTTCTAAATTTATTGGTTTGTGTGTGTGCATGTTTTGTATATGTGTCTCAGTGTGTATGTGGAGGCCTGAGGTACGCTTGGGTATCATTCCTCAGGAGCAGTCTATCTTTTCTTTTTGAGGCAGTCTCACTGGGACCTGGGGATAGGCTCAGGTTAAGCTGCCCAGCCTGCAGATCCTCTTGTCTCCACCACCCTAGTGCTGTGTATATCAAATGCTATCATGTCCAATTTTTTATTTGGGTGCTAGGGATCAGACTCGCTCTCATGCCTGTAGCAAGCACTTTACTGAAGCATCCCATTGGCCCCTGAAAAACTTTTCAATTTACATGGATTAACTTATTTTAACTCACATACAGAATTACACATGCTAACTAGTAATTCTAAATATTCTAGAACACACCCATCAATCCAGGTAGCTTGCATTTTTACATTTTAGAAGTTTCCCAGAGGACTTAAACTTATATTCAGCAATGAACATGTCACATCTTGGAAGCTTTCTCTCTCGTCTATACTTATAATCCTATTTATGTTTGTCAGCTCATTTTATTTTAGGGAGCTATGGATGGAACCCCAGGGTCTTACTCATGCTAGGCCAGTACTTTACTGAGCTATACCATCAGCACCCCCTTATTCATCCTAATTTCTGTTTAAATTGCCACTAAAATTCTGAGGCATTAGAGCTATCAGAGCCATTAGCTAACACTCTTTCCCATATGAATGTTACAAGAGCTTTACATATTAAAATACACGAGTACATAGTTCATCTTGAGACACATCAGACATCTGTCAATATCAGTCTTCTTCACCTAAGCTTTCCTAAGTTACACACAATTTGCAAAGCATTTGGGATTGTTTTCTAACAGGTGCCAGATTTAGCACAACTGATGCCATGTTAGAGGCACCATTCCGACCTTAAAACCCAGCACAAAGGCCCCCAAATCTGCCAAAATGGGAACAAAGACCTAATCCATCCAAGAACTAGTTTATAGTTTCAAGAAAGTCCCTAAACCATTAACCTTACATTTTAACTACTGTTCTTTCTAACTGAAGTGTGATGATGCATTTTTTTGTTGTTTTGTTTTTGTGCACAAAAGACAAAGGGCTGTAAGAGTTAGGCAAGTTCCCGGCTAAAAGATTTTCTTTTTGGCTTTAAGAGTGTCTGAGTGATCTAGGTGCGTGGCGGTGCATGCCTTTAATTCCAGCACTTGGGAGGCAGGCGGATATCCTGGGTTCAAGGCCAGGCTGGTCTACAGAGTAACCCTGTCTTGAAAAGCCAGAAACAAAAGTGTGTCTGAGTGGTAGTTTCTGGTGGGCTTATCTCACAAGTTTCTTTGATAAACAAGTGTTTATTTCTAACTCAATTTGGTACAATGTACACAATATGCTTACAGTATACATGTAGATATATACACCTTTACATACATAGAAAAAGATTACCCTGTGTTATTTATTGTGCCAAAAAATTTTTGCTACAACTGAAATGAGTAGACTTATTTTGACTTGTGGCTTTGGTCCATGGTTCTCTGGCCTCATCATTGTAGACCTGAGGCAAAACTGAACATCACAGAAACACTTGGCAAGAGTATGTATCTAATGATAGGAGACTGGATTAGAAATAAGATATACCTCTTCAGGGCACTGCTCCACTGTCCCCACTTCCAACAAACAGACCCCATGGTCTAACTGCCCATTCAAATAGGAAAAAATTAACAGATTAATCCATTGGTGACACCACCCTTATGATCTAATCATTCCTTAACAGTGCCAGCTGACAAATCCTCCAACCATCAGTGCTTTGGGTTAATATTTTATACCCAAACCCTAACACAAGATATGGGATAATGGGAACACCAGCCACAAGTGTCACACAAAATTCCACTGAAAATGACACTGAAGTTCATGGGCTTTCTTGACCCAGGGGCTAACCATGGCTGCCCTTGGGTGGGGCTGCTGTTTGGCCAGCCCTTTACAAAGCAGTCATTTCCTAGTACCCTTCCTTTTGGTCAAATATGTTCTCTCATTCAGGTGCCTTGGTTCTTGTTAGATTTGGATCATATTTTGAATTACCCTGAGATGGTTGCCACAAGGTACTGGCTTTTATCTATCCTTTCTCCCCTCTGCGTAGGGTCTGAGGTTCTCCCTGACACTTGTGTGTCTTCCCTCAGCTGTCTGGATCACAGAGTCTGTAGGCCTAGGGGCTTAGTTAGGAATCTCTCAGATGAAGGTCCTAGTATAAAAAGATTAGAGGAGTCTCTTTTCTTTCTTTTACATCAAGCAAACCCATTGTCCAGCCAATTGGTCTTCTAATTCATACTGATGTCAGGCATTGAGGCAAGTTGTCCTTTTTCTTGAATCTCTTGGATCTAAATGAACCTCAATTAGACACCTGTGGGGTGATTCCCAGGCCTACTCTTTTAAACAGGAGACCGAAAAAGAGGTAACTTGTGACCATAAGAAGCAACTAGAACCTCAGGGCTCTCAGAGCTGCTTTTCATGGCATCCCTGGAAGTGCTAATAACAGTAATAGGCACAGGACCTGCAGACAAGGTGTGAGAACCGGAATAGGTGCTCACAAAAGCTGTGCCAAATTCAGAGTATCAGAAACCAAAACAGAGCCCAGAGGGTTTTTGAACATGTACAAGACACAGTGCAGTTGAGTGGCAGTCCTACCTAAAGTCTTTTTTCCTTTTCTTTATATTTTTGGAGTCAAGGTATCACTTTGTAGCTCAAGCTGGTCTGGAACTCACTATGTAGCTCAGGTTGGCCTCGACCTGTCAATGCTACTTCTGCCTCCTGAGTGCTAGGATTGCAGGCATGAGTCACCAGAGCAGCTCAAATTAAAGCTCCAAGAGCCAACGTCTACTGGAATAGAGTACCGAGTCAGCAGAACAAAAGACAAAGCCTACAGACTGTTACAGCGCTGCAGCCAGTCTGCAGTCCTTCTGACAGCAGATGAACACTCTAGAATACAGGACAAGCAGAGGTTGCATTATGGTGGGTACACACTATAGACTGTCAAGGAAGAGCCTATTGGCTGAAATTAAAGCAAAGGTTCAGGCAGCCACAAGGCAAATTTGCACCAACTATTACCAGGACTGGTTGATTTCTTCAGATCCTCTAAGATCCTTTTGTGGCCATCAAAGATGTCAGCAACTGGCTGAGAGATTTTTTGAAGGTCAAAGTGTAGCTTTCTTCTTGTTAGCAGCTCTGGACTGCTGTGTACGAATCAGGTTTTGCTATCCAGACTGTCCCCAAAGAACTACTTTCAGCTCCAGCCCTGCTACTGAGCTGTAGGACACTGGCAGATGCAGTGACTGCCCTAAGCTTCAGTTTCCTCATCTGTGAAATGGGGACAGTTATTCCTATTTGCTAGGGAATAGGCAAATTTAAAGGCTGAAAAAACAAGCATGGGGCCTAGAATTAGATAGGTGGGAATAACTAGAAAGTAGTAATGTTCTTTTATGTGCTGACATGAAACAGAAGGCTTTAGTTCAATTTTACCAACTAAGGGAAGCCGTTCCTGTCCTCTATGTCAACATGAGATATCAGCTCTCTTAGCCCTGCATTTTGCTAGCTGGCATCACTCTTTAACCTACCAGCTGGTCTGTCAGTACCTGGCCTGGAGTTGTATGCAGAGACTCAGTCTGTAGACCTCTCTGTTGGTAACAGCAGGGAAGCTTGTTGTCTGGCAACACAGGGTAAACATGGAGGCTGCAATGGCCTCTAAAGCAACAAGGGGCAGGCTAGCCACTTCCAGGAGTGTCTGGCAGATGACAGTTACTTGGCAAGTACCTGTGGAATGAGGTCCTTTGCTTTTTAAGTAACAAGGAAACTATTCAAAAGCAGTATTATGAATCAGTTAGAAATTAGCTGTCAAGAATGACCCAGTGAGGTCCTTTTCTGATGAGTGCTTGTAGTGATAGTTTACCTATAGTTTGATGAGTGCTTGTAGTGATAGTTTACCTATAGTTTGATGAGTGCTTGTAGTGATAGTTTACCTATAGTTTGATGAGTGCTTGTAGTGATAGTTTACCTATAGTTTGATGAGTGCTTGTAGTGATAGTTTACCTATAGTCTGATGAATGCTTGTAGTGATACTTTACCTACAGTCTGATGAATGCTTGTAGTGATAGTTTACCTATAGTCTGATGAGTGCTTGTAGTGATAGTTTACCTATAGTCTGATGAATGCTTGTAGTGATAGTTTACCTATAGTTTGCACCTGCTTTCTCATCTGACAGTACACACACACACAAGACAGCAATGGCAGCTTTTTAGCACAACCATGGGAGATCTTGAGGAAATGAAGCAGTGCAGAGCTTTCAGAAAGCCTAGAGTCCTCAGAAAACAATCTGAAATGGAAGTCATGAAGGTCACTTTGAACAATGAGGTCCTTAGCACTCTTTCTACTTAGGTAGAAGCTCAAGAGTGCACCACACAGTGTACGACCGGAAAATCTTGCCAGCTCCAGAGAGACCAAGGAAAAGTGAATGTACTGTACCTTCACCTGAGAGGCTACAGATGGAACACTGAAGTGGCCACCTGCTAACGGACACTCTGAAGGCTAATCACAGGCTGGTGAGGTATGCTGAGCATTGGCATGGAAGAGTGTCATGTGCTTCTCACATGCATCCATGAACACCCTTCAGTTGCTAGACACACATATGGAAAGCTCTGCAATAAATAGCCATTTCCAGAACCAAGCTACCCCTCACTTCCAGGAAGCTCCTATCAACTGTCTGGAACCACAAAAGAATTAGATTAGCATGGTATGGAAGGTAGGGTACACATGTCCGGGTGAATGTGGTCTCCAAGCCCAAGCACACATGTCAGGTGTTCACTTTCACATGCTAGGGATTTAATACATTCTCCCCAGAGACTTGCTTAAGTTGGACCATATTGCTCTTAATTTATCCTTTTACCTAAATGCCCTTCCTCTGGATAGCCTTGAAAAAAAGGCTGATTGGACAGACTTTAGGAATGTCTAATCCACATAGCTTTGTGTCAGTCCTTTAAGTCTCAAAATACTATGAAGCAGAAAGTATTCTCATTGCCTGATAAAGGGTGAGGCCCAGGACCATTTGGCACTTAAGACAATGACCTTGTCTCCAAGGTGCCTCACATGCCACAGCTACTGGGGCTAGATCTAGGCTAGAGTGTTACACAGCATAGCACTCCCCACTGACAAAATGAACACAGGCATGTAATGAACAAAGAAGGCAGCTATGCTCACAACTGTGCCACCAATGTAGACATATGTTTGGGATCCAGGACACTGAATGTTGATGTGACTATCTCCTGCCTATATCTTACCTGATTGGGCCTCCTATCAGTGAGTGTGAGAGCAGGTACAGAGTGTGACTTGCCATGAAGAAACACAGGGACTGGACTTGGAGAATGCTAGACTCTGGAACTCTTGCTCCCACATTTGGAATCTGGGGAGGCCCGAGCAGCAGTGGGGCACATGGGGTAAACAGAGGTGGGATGGAAACTATCCTCTGCCTGTGCCAATTTCAACACAGACCAAGGACAAGTATGAGAAGGCCCTGAAGGAGCTTGATCAGACCACACCCCAGTACATGGAGAACATGGAGCAGGTGTTCGAGCAGTGCCAGCAGTTTGAAGAGAAGCGCTTGCGCTTCTTCCGGGAGGTTCTGCTGGAGGTTCAGAAGCACCTGGACCTGTCCAATGTGGCTAGGTAAGTCTGAGACAAAAAACCCATCATTGTGACTTACAGGGAGGCTGGTATTGAATAGACTCAGGTGCTGCATGTCCACCTTGGGGGACAGGGCAGTCACCCAGAGGGCCTGTTTGCAGAGCCAGCATACAGCACTGCCATAGAAGGCTGGAGCAGGGCAGGCATGGTGGGCTTGATGCTGCCAGAGCCAGCATTCTGGAAATCCACCTGGGCTGACACAGCACTGGCCAGGCCTCATGTCTTCTGCCCCCAAGGACAGTCCCTTGTAGAAGTCTTCTCATTCCTGCTGCCAGTTCAACCATTGGAATCTTGGTGACTGTAGGTCCTGGGGAAGCCAGAACAGCAAGATGCTAGTTTGATTGTAACACAGTGTACCTGCATCAGGGGAGACCCAGATAACAGGACAGAGATAGAAATCTACTTTCTTCATACATCTGAAGGATCTTCCTTTGAGAAATGGATGTCAGGTCAAAGCTTGCTGTCAGGAGAAAATGGCATCCCTTTTGTCTCTTTGAAAAAGATGGAAAGTAGTCACTGCACAGCTGCTCTGCTGTCATTTCCTCTCTGTGACAGCCTAGAAAGAAGGCAGGATTGTCCCCATCCTGCTGATGAGGAAACTGAGTCGCTACACAGCTTTTAGGGTACAGGAAACGGGACAGGGCTAGGACTGTGTCCTGCTCTTCTGTGTAAGAGGTACCTTCCACGATGTTTGTACTTGGCTGTGGCAAAGGCCTGAATGAGCACAGTCTACCCCTATGTTCCAAGCCACCTGAGGTGGGGGTGGGGACACGCAGAGGGAGGGTGGCACATGGTGTGGTCGCTCCTAGGGTGGCATGGCAGACAACAAGGGAAGCTCATCACTAAGTTCTAGGACAGAAATCACAAACCAAGGTATGGCCACACTCCTCCTGAAGGCTCCAGGCAGGTCCTTCCTGCCTCTTCTAGCGTGTGGGGTCTGCCAGTCCTCGGCTTCCCGGACATCTGAGCACGTCTGTCCAGTCCTCTGGCCATCTTCCCCTGACTGTCTAGTGTAGATGTCTCCTCCTTTATGTAGGGACAGCAGCCCTGCTGCATTGGGGACACTTTACAGACCCTGTTTTAAGTTGTTCACCTCTGAAAGACAAGGTCACCTCCTGGGTGGGGTTGGGGCTTCAGCTATTGTAGTTGGAGAACACAATCCAATCCTTAGATAGAATAGGTCTTATGCCCATTCCGCATTGACAGAAAGTGAGGCTTAGAAAAAGTAAAAAACTGTCTATGTAGATAATAAGTGATCCCTCAGGTCTAGTCAAGACCGTGTTCTTGGCTACAGGAGGCTGGACTGTCTCATAGTTCTGCCTTCCTCCTATAGTGCCTTTCACTTGGGGAGGAAACCTGCAGCTCTCCCGACATTCTCGTCTAATGACTTCTTCCTCAACATGACCTGACCCAGTGGGACTGCACAGTTGTGCCACGGAGCACACCCAAGATGCGATGCAGGGCAAGCTCAGTGTGCCGCCTGGTTATGTGAAGCTTATTTGTCGGTGGTGCCAGGTTCTAAGGATGGTGTGTGCATCTGTACGTGTGACGGCCCGGGAATGGTGTTCCTGATCTATGTCTGGGAGATAAGATTCCTGCAGACTACAGAGACGATCATGCAGGGTCTCTTGTGGCTGTGAGGAATGATGGCTGGGCCCTGCCTTTTGTAGAGCTATCCTTCTGTCTCTGATTTAGGTACAAAACCATTTACCGAGAGCTGGAGCAGAACATCAAAGCTGCTGATGGCTCCTGTCGAGCCCTGCCTGGCTGTAGCCCATAACAGCCCTGCAAGGCTGGCCCACTTATATCCTGGCCCCACCTGCCTCTGTAACACTGATGACGACCTGCCAGCCACTGTGGCTGTGAAGTGAGTGCCAGAAAGGAGGTACAGAAGGCAATCCAGCCTGTAGCTCTGACTTCTTGGTCTTGCAGCTCACATTTGTCTGAAGAGCCTGTGCTTTTTCACAGTGGTCTAGTCGTCTCTGCTGCTGTCCTTCTCCCAGTAGGAATCAACACTGTCATCCCAGCTATGAAAGGAACTGCCTCTTATCTCCATGGGACCATCAACACACCTGTAGGAATAGGAAGGAAGAGTGATTGATGGTGGAGTGTTTACTTTTGCTCCTAATCAGGGTCTCTAGTTCTGGGTATGGGGCACATGTTTCCCCTACCTAGTCATGTGCTGAGATAACATCCACATCATGTGGCCAATAAACAGGAACAGATAGGAGGTGTCATTTCCAAGGTCTTTAAAGTGACTGTTTAACCTGACCTATCTTCTCTTTGGGGGCTGTAGAGAAGAGGGATTGCTATATCATAAGGCAAATGAGACCCCTCCTGGTTTAGAAGATGGGAACTCTAGACCAGTGGTTCTCAACCTTCCTAATGCTGCAACCCCTTAATACAGTTCCTCATGTTGTAGTGACCCCCAACCATAAAATTGTTTCATTAGCTACTTTGTAACTATAATTTTGCTGTTAAGAATCATAATGTAGGGCTGGAGAGATGGCTCAGAGGTTAGGAGCACTGACTATTCTTCCAGAGGACCTGAGTTCAATTCCCAGCAACCACATGGTGGCTCACAACCACCTTGAATGAGATCTGGTGCCCTCTGCTGGCATGCAGGCAGAAGACTGTATACACAATAAATAAATAAAATATTTAAAAAAAAAGAATCATAATGTAAATATCTGATATGCAGGATATCTGATATACAACCCCTGTGGGGATTGTGGCCCACAGGTTGAGAACCAATGTTCTAGACAGTCACATTTACCCAAAGCTGACTTGCTAGACACAGGGATAAACTGCTATATGCTGAGCCCCTGAGACTTGAGAATGCTTATCACAACATGACCTGGCCTATTTGCACAACACAGATCTCCTTCATTTTCTCCTAGTACTGTTACAGATGCTTCTAGATTCCAATGTCTTCCCTGGTCAATGTGTTCAATATGAATGATATAAATGTCACTCACTGACTTCCTGGAGTTGGATACAAAGCCACAGACTATTGATCACTGGACCCTTTTTCCATTGCTCTTGCAGTGTGATCTAAAAGTATCCTTGGGTTGGTTTGTCCCTTGTCAGCGGCACACCACTAAACCGATTATCACTCAGAGAACAGCACTCCAATGCAGTGTTCCATCCTGTGTGACAAGGGAAAAAGATTCCCCAAGAAGTCATAGCACTGTTAGCCAGGATAAGATAAGACAGAGACAAGAAAGATGCTCATGAACTGTGATGTTGGTGCCATGACAGTTTACAATGGAAAAAGAGCCCAGGGATATGTGTCTCCAATATGAAGGTGGATTTCAAGGGTTGTCTTTGGAGTGAGACAGAGTCCACAGCCGAGGGTTTAGGCAAGGCAGGGTGATGGGAAAGAATGCAGAGGTCTGAAATAACTAAGACTAGAATCACACAGAATCCAAGGCAAACACTAAACTCCATGTTATAAAGGATCACAAGAAGGTGGACATACCAGATCAGAAGGGCAGACAGCCAAAGGGACCACACCAAATTTTGAAGAGCTGGGTCAGGAATCATATAGGCCAGGATCATGGTGAGGGTGCTAAGAAAAAATACATTCTTTTCTAGCCAAAAAAAAAAAAAAAAAAAACAACAACAGAGGGGGATAAGCCCAGTGTCTGTAGCAAATAGGGTTTTCACAAGAAACATGGAGAGAAAACGTAAGTGCTAAATGTGGCTCTGCCTTCTCTGGCAAGAAGGACACTAAGAACATGCCTGTTAAATTATCATCCACCCAAGAAAGAAGATGTGGTATTTGGAGCATCCCTGTCTTTTAGCTAGAAACTCTAAATGCTCCTCTGCAGCTGAATGGAGCAGCACCTAGCCCTGGCTCTAACTGAAGAATGGAGAGTAGAAATCTTGTTCAAAGACCAGGAACCAGAACAACCAAGGAAACAGAAGTAAAATCAGAGGAGGGTTCTAAAGAATAAGTTACTGCTGACCTTCTCACGCTTCAGGGTTTATCATCATCAAGGGTCCAGGAAAGGAACTAAGACCAACTTACTGGCAAATTTACAAGCTATTCAGTAAGTACTTTCAAGGGGTCAGAACTATAGTGGGGGGAAATAGGGCAGGAGATAGCTCCTGTCCCTGTTCATGAGGCTTGCAAACTAGTTCACAGGAGAAGCTACTTTGGGTTCATGACCCCCATAGACCCGCTCTGGTGGGAGGCAAAAGTCTAATAGAGGTTGGTAGGCCCTTGGAGGGCACAGGAAAGGTACGAACACTATTAGTGGAGTGGAATGAAGGGCTGGAACCTCCGGGATCTTTAAGACTGTTCTGGCACAGAAGTGTGCAAGTTTAGCATCTCTCTATGGAACAGACACTCTTCATTTATATGAGCTAAGAGCTTATCCTGGAATGTAGGGGGCATTAGGTACCGTTCAACTACCCTAGAGAAAATACCACCTTTCATAGGTGCCCAGAGCAGTTCTCACATGGGGTCTTCCCAGTTCTTCACTAACTCACGAGAGCCTCTCTATGCTCTAGAAACCTGTAGGGGATACCCAGTCACTCACAGACAACACTCTATGCCAGCCAGCCTGCACAGCCATCAGTCCATGCTGGGACTCAGCAGCTCTCCTCATCACTGACCTTCACCCAGCTTGGGCTCTGATTTCTGGGTCCCATTTCTCCATGAGCTTTTGCTTCATGCTGGCCCTTACACTGCACCTTCCTCCCCTCTGAACACATCTCTGCAGGTCCCTGGGAAAAGCCTTTAACAGCTAGCACACTGTCTTCTTGTCAGTCACATCCCCCACCAAAGGCCATTTGGACTCCATGGAGCTCAGCAAACAGGCCAGTTTCTTTATTCTGAATGCAGTATTATAATAATGCATCATTTATAGTCTGGAAATAATGGAATTTACTATAAAAAAGCCATGCAAGGATATGTCCCCCTTGCTTAATAGAAACAGCACTCTTCCATAATTCATAATATGCAAGTTCTAATGGCTAATGAATAATTTGGAGGCAGGAAAAGCACTCTGTGGCACTGACAAGCTGGCTTTCAGAGTGTGTTCACCTCACCTCTGGTGCCAAAGCACCTAATACAATCCTGCTCTGTCACTGTAGTCATCGAGTGAACTGGAGGGATGTTTCTGTCCCTGAATAACCTGCAGGTCACCATCTACAGGGCACCAAAATCTCTCTGCTCTACATCTAAACACCATTTACCCCCAGATTTCAAACCAAAATTGATCCCTGGCACAGTGGCCTCTGGGGCTGACCCTTCTGATTGAGCCAAGAAAAGAGAGGTTCCTGGAGACTCCAAGGCACACATAAAGGTTGACCCTGACCGTGGACAGTACCATGTTATGGGGCCCTGCACAGAAAGTCAGCCCACTGCCCATTCTTTCTATGTCACCTCTGTCAAAAAGGGTTAAAAAGTGTCTATCATACTCTTCTTGCCACTATGATAGTCTGCCCAAGCATATAGATTAAATGAGTATTGATCAAACACATAAACTGTGAACCAAAATAAATGCTTCTTATATTCTTTGTTAGATATCTGGCCTACAGCAATGACAAAAATGAACAGATATTCTTATCTAGCAACTCCACTCTTACATATCTATTCAAATCAGATATTTGTACAAACTATTTTCAAAGCAATATTACTAAATCATGGAAACTACCAAATTGACAATTTCTGGATGAAAGGATAAGAAAAGGAGATGATATGTGTGTGCAGTGGGGTTTTACTCAGTCTTAAGATGGAAGGGAGGTTTGACCTGTTCCACACAAGTATGAGCATGACAACAGATATTTGAAAGAAAATTAAGATGTTAAACCACATGAACATTAATCACAAGAAGAAAAAACTGGGGCAAGTAAACTTACACCAGCAACCATATCTTGTCAAAATTTAAAAGAGACAAGAACATGGCTGCACATTTCAAACATTCTGGGATCACAGTCTCAGACAAAACAGTATGGCTGATAATCTTAAATGAGGAAGAATATACAAAAATTGCTCCCCTTTCTTAATAATTACTTATTGAGTTATATGGCTATTTATCCTACCATGCCTTTACAGACTTCTTAAAAAAAAAAAAAAAAAAGACAGGTGTGGTCATATGCGCCTTTAATCCCTGCACTGGGGAAGGTAGAGGGAGGTGGATCTCTGTAAGTTCAAAGACAGCTTGGTCTACATAGGAGTTCCAGAACAGACAGCACAATGTAGAGAACCTGTCTCAAAACCAAAACAAGAGCCTGACGGTGGTGGCGCACGCCTTTAACCCCAGCACTTGGGAGGCAGAGGCAGGTGGATCTCTGTGAGTTTGAGACCAGCCTGGTCTACAAGACCTAGTTCCAGGACAGCCTCCAAAGCCACAAAGAAACCCTGTCTCAAAACACCCCCCTCAAAAAAAAAACCAAAACTCCCAAAACAATGCAACAGAAAGTTTTAGTTATCAAAAAAGGAAATTTTGTTGTAATTATTACCAGTTTTCATTCTAACATAAAAAAGGTTTCATTAGTTTTTATCCTATGGGGACAAATGTTCCTTTATTGGTAGTCATATTGTGTCAATATTCCTTAAGTCATAACAACAACAACAAAAGAAATCACTTCCAGAGTTCCAAACAGCCTGTCTACCAGGTCCATTCCTAGAAAAGGAATAGGGAAACAGGCCAGCTGCTAGAGGAAATGGCACCAACAGAGGCCTGAGTCCATGTGATGACCTGCAGAAGATGTCCTAACAAGGGCCCAGGCAGCTGGACCTCAAACCTGACTACAGTCCTTTTACTACTATTTCACTTCTTGTCAGAGGTCCCTTTCCTCCCACTATGGGGCTGTCTTCCCAGTGGGAAGCACCTTTGTCTGATATACAGTGTGTTGGTTTGAATGAGAATGGTCCCCACAGGCTTTTATTGAATGCTTGAATTCTAATTAGTGGAACTGTTTGGGAAGATCAGGTGTGACTTTTAGTGTGATCTTGTTGGAGGAGGTATCACTGGGGATAGGCTTTAAGGTTTAAAAAACTCATACTAGGCCCAGCCCCCCCCCCAATTAGAATGTAAAGCTCTCAGTTCCTGTTCCAGCACCTTGTCTGTCTGCTTCCAGCCATGATCATGGACTAACTTTCTAAAACTGTTAGCAAGTATCCAATTAAACAATTCCTTTTATAAGAATGGCTTTCTTGGGGCTGGAGAGATGGCTCAGAGGTTAAGAGCACTGACTGCTCTTCCAGGAGTCCTGAGTTCAATTCCCAGCAACCACATGGTGGCTCACAACCATCTACAATTCAATCTAGTGCCCTCTTTTGTCATGTAGGCAGAACAGTATGTATGCAATAAATAAATCTTAAAAAAAAAAGAAAGGCTTTCTTAGGGTTTCTATTGCTGTAGAGACACCAAGACCATGGCAACTCTTATAAAAGAAAACATTTAATTGGGGCTTGCTTACAGGTTCAGAGGTTTAAGTCCATTATCATGGCAGGAATTATGGCAGCACACACTAAACAGAGATGGTGCTGGAAAAGGAGCCCCGGGTTCTACATCTGCACTGGTAGGCATCCAGGGAGAGGCACTGGGCCCGGCTTGAGCATTTGAAACCTCATAGCCCATCCTTGCTGAGAGCTGCTGGCATCAATGGCCGTGGGATTATACAACAGGTGACAACTAGTGTTAACAAGTCAACCCACCAGACAGATGACTCTCTATTGAGGAGCCCCACCAGACAAGGCTATGGAGTGACCAGTTGTGCCTGTCTGTAATTTCTGTCATGTGCCACTTCATTTCTTCCCTAAGAACTGCAATGGGTGTTTCCCATTGCTTGTGTGTTTATCGCATGTAAATATTCCATCTTTGGGCACACATATAGCTGTGGATGGTCAGGAAGATGAGTTTTGCTTAATGTGTGTAATTTTGATGACTATTAATAATACTAGGACATTTTTTATTATTCAGACTAACATAGGAAAGTAATAGAATTTTCAGTCATAAAGACAGCTAATTTAGATTTCAGAAAATATTCAAAACAAACTGGTTGTCCCTGGAGATGAATATCTGGTTGCCCCTAGAGACAAACACATGAGGTCATTTTCCCAGGTGTTCATTGCTGATTCAAGGGCAGAGCTTGAAGTAACTTTAGTAGACATAACTTTCTCAGTAAGTGACTTTTTGTACATAGTCCCAGCCTCAGTTTACGTTACAAGCTCAAGGTTTACTTTGTCTGAGAATGTGCATGGCTAAGTGTCACTCACTAGCTGGTCAATGTGACCTCCCTAGCCTGAGAAAAACTGTGTGACTTACCTTGTGTTATGACAATGGGTTGGGCCCTGAAAATGTAACATATAATTGTCCAGAGTTGCACTGTGAGAGGAATGATGGTGTGGAGAGAGGCGGCTATGTAGAGCTATGTAGGAACTGTGCTCTGTGTGTGTGTGTGTGTGTGTGTGTGTGCGCGCGCGCATGTGCTCGATGAGTGAGGGATATAGCTGAATGGGCAGAGAGAAGTGTGAGACATGAAGATTGTGAGTGTGACTATGAGCGAATGAATGATATAGCAGTGTGATGTGAGTGTGTGTTTGAGGAGCTGTGCCTAGAACTGTGTAAAGTGCTATATGCTGAGAGAGCTATGTGAATGAAATGTATAACTGTGGCTGTATGGAGATCTGTAACTGTGTGGAAGCAAGGAAGATGAAACTGAATAGAAAAGAGATGTAAACAAGAAATATATGTAAAAGAAACATGTGTAGCCATGTGAAAATAGATGTAACTGTGTATAGAGATGACTGGCCATATAGGAGAGAGATATATGTATGTAAAGAGAGATATGTAGCTGTATATATGTAGCTGTGTGGAGACAGATTCTCAGAAAGGATTATTTAAGATGAGGTAAAAGAGAAAATTACTGGCCGGGCAGTGGTGGCGCACGCCTTTAATCCCAGCACTCGGGAGGCAGAGACAGGCGGAGCTCTGTGAGTTCGAGGCCAGGCTGGACCGAGAGCCTCCAAAACAATCAGAGAAACCCTGTCTCATAAAGAAAAAAAAAAAAGAGAGAGAGAGAGAGAGATAATTACTTATTTTTCCCCTCAGATGGATAAGAATTTTTCCTAAGCCATGGCCACATTCATAGATTTTTTTGCATACCCCAGTTAGCAATACAACCCCAGTGACACACTTCCTCCAATAAGTTTACACCTCCTAATAGTGCTACTTCCTGGTGACCAAGCATTCAAATCCATGAGCCTTTGGGGGCCATTCCTGTTCAAACCACCACAACTGTCTTGACCATGGTGTCTCTTCACAGCAAGAGAACAGTAACCAAGACATCTGCAAAGGTCCACAGTGTCAGAGTAGACTCATTAGAGTGGCTAATGTAGCCCAAGCCCTTGCTTAAGAGGGAATAAAGACCTTCTTCATGTTATAAACTGTGAAATCACCAGCTAAAAGCCAAACAAATTTTTCCACTCATGCTTTGTCCTGCTAGTGTCAATGGGAATTGGAGTAGGAGGATTATGCTGGATGCCACACTTGATATGACGACCCCACCTTCCTCTGAACTCTTAACATTGAATGGTATGTACAGGGAACCCCCTTCTCTCAAGTGTGTACTTTGTACTCTTAATTTCTTAGAAGGCACTGGAGGGAATTGTTGTTTGGAGACCCTGCATCAGACTTGTTTCCAAATCAGTGCTTTATTCCTCCTAGAAGATCTCCACAGAGGCCCAAGTAGAAAATGGCTCATTTCCCCAGGCTATTAGTTGATGAAAGATCACTTTTTAAGACTTTTTATAACTATATGCATATGTGTGTGCATACGGGTATGTGCATGAGTTTAGGTGCCCATGGATGCCCCTGGAGATGGTGGTACATACAGGTGGTTGTGAGCTGCCTTATGTGAGTACTGGGAGCTTATCTTGGGTCTTCATGAAGTTTATAATATGCTAACCAAAGTCATCTTTCCAGCCTCAAAGATGCAAGGTTTAACCCCTCCTTAACTGGCAATTAATCTGCTATTTTACTTGATGTCAAGTCAACATAATACAAAAAAAAAGCAAGGAAAGACTCACCAGATAAAACTCTAGTAGACACAAAGTGACCCTGAGCAAGTGATAAAAAGAAACATCCTGTAGGTTATGCTTGCCCAGTTGTGATTTTTGGCACTGTACTCAAAACATACCTGAAAGAAAATTGTTATATATTTCTAAGAATATATATTAGCAGGCTGAGTTATCTTATACAACACAGTACAAACTAGCTTAACAGCTGTCTAACATTCACACTTAAATTCTGATAACTAGGAAACGTGACCTATTCGTTTGGTACTGTGGCAGTACGCTAATCTAGGTGTTGCCTTCTTCTCATCTGTGCCTACTGTTTTCCCTGGTGCCACCTAGCTGGAACAGGCCATTAGCTTTCACCAATGACTTCCTAACTCTAGGTATCACTATTGCCATCTCCAAGATGGCTGTGTTCCCAATCAGGCAAGTCAAGCTGCTGCTGAAGGTATGATGTGCTAACAAGCAGACCATAGCTGATAAATAGAACATAGGCATCGTGGGCTATTATTATCTGCATCTCCAAAGAGCAGGATGTACTGTTTTCCTGGCCTGGCAACCTGGAGAATGTTACCTGCTACTTCCCAACACACCTTCAACTTTATGGTCTAGGGTAAATACAGTCAGATCTTTCTGGGGGTGTGGACAAGTGCACCCATATCTGGAGCTAGTGTGACACCAACTGGCCTCTGAAGGAGCTCCCCATTTCATCTCCTGACTAGGTACTGCCAGTACTTTCTAGACACAGAGAAATTAGGCACAGACCCTGCCAGTTCAAAGGTCTGGGGGATGACAAAATTGGATGGAATCTGATTTCTTTAACAAAGTTTTGACATCTCTGTTCAGGGCACCATGATATCCTGCACAGCATAATTTAATATATACAACACAACTGAGGGCATGCTGCCTCACCCCAAGGACACAGACATACCATAATCAGATGATCACATAGATGGTGATGGCCAGTGTCACCTCCCCTCTTCCTCACAATGGGGTGGATCCTGGTGCAGTCTAAGGAGCTCAGTACAGGCAGTGTCTGAGATATTTTACACAGGCACTGACAACTGTTAGGGGTTCTTGTTTGAAATAATGTCTCACTCTGAAAGTTATTCAGCCCAAACTAGCCTTGCTTGTGACAGTTCTCCTGCCTTAGCCTCCTAAGTGCTGAGACAACAGGCATAACTCACCATGGCATGCTAAGAAAAACACTTCCAAAGATGAGATTTGCAATGCTTTCTTCACAGGCATGTGGTCCAGCTTCCATGGCCTGGATGAGGCTTTTGTTCTGCTGCTTTCAATGAGCTGGAGAAAGTCACTTAAGTAGGTCCTCTCAACAGAACCAGAATCAGGTATGGGAGAATACTCCACTGTTAAGTACCATAGATGAGAAATTCCAGTCTTGGTCCTGGTCAGATATCTGGGAAGGAGTCTTGTAAGGGCGCTAATTGTGACCATGTTTCATCATTGGCACCTCATTTAATTATTGGGAGAGTAATGGTATCATGGTGGTCTTCCATCAGGAAGATCTAAAAGTCCAGACTTGTAGGATGTATGTTGTATTTACTTAAAACCAAAAAATCATGTCTTTCTTTTGTATATAAGTACCATTTCTTCTTGCACAACTAAATAATATTTTCAGTCATATCCCACACCAGACATTCTGCTGCAAAAAAATAAAAAAATGTTGAGAAGTGTCATCTAGGATTTTAGAAATTTAAACTTTTGTGTGTTTTGCCTTCATGTATATCTGGTACCCCATGTGTGCCTGGTGCTCATGGAGGCCAGAAGAGGGTTTTGGGTCCCCTATAATTGGAATTACGTAAGATTGTGACCTGCCATGTTGGTGCTGGGAATTGGATCAGCTAGTACTCTTAACTACTGAGGCATCTCTCCAGTCCAATTTTTTTTTTTAGAACTTTAGACAGCTGCAACAATATTGGGGTTGGAGAAATGGCTCAGCTGTTAACAGAAGATCTAGGTTTGGTTCTCAGTAACCAACCACATGGTAGGTCACAATCATCTAACTCCAATTCCTGGGAATATGATGCCCTCTTCTGGCCTCCATGGGCACCAGGCACACAGATATATATATAAACAGACAAAACACCCATACATTTAAATTTTAAGTTGTTAAAAAATTGTAAATGGCCGGGCGGTGGTGGTGCACGCCTTTAATCCCAGCACTCGGGAGGCAGAGGCAGGCGGATCTCTGTGAGTTCGAGGCCAGGCTGGACCGAAACAATACAGAGAAACCCTGTCTCGCAAAACCAAAATAAAAAAAATTGTAATATTATAGCTATAAATTATAAACTCTCAGTCATCAGGTACTTGCTTAGCATGTAAAATGCTTTGGCTTTGCACTGGTGAGGGGTTAATCATGGGCCCCATGGAGAGTTATCAATACAATTGCTGAATTGTATTAGCAATACACTATTATGTATGTAGTCTGCACAGAGAAGATAACTTAGGTCTTTAAGCCATACCCTTTGCTTCCTACCTCTAACATCCAGTTAGGAACTTAGCACATAAATGAAAACGAGCTCCTGGGACACTCTCCCTTATCATCCATTGGGTAGTGGCTGTCTCTCACATGACAGGCACTTGGGCATGATTTTTCTCTCTTCACTAACGACTTGGCCCAACCGTCCTCCAATTATCTCTTGTACAGCTTCTGCCTCACTTTTACCAAGGTGGTCTGTGTGACCAGGAAAATGTGGCAAAAGCGACAGCATACTACTTTCGAGATTAGGTTATAAAAGGCACGGAAGCACGGTGGCACACATTTAAGGTCCCAGCACTCAGGAGGCAGAGGCAGGAAGATTACCAGTTCAAGATCAGGTTGGTCCAGGTTCATCTACATAGTGAGATACTCCCTCAAAAAGAAAAAAAAAGGACGCTGATGTCTCTTCAGCAGGCCACTACTAAGTAACCATGCATATTAAACACACTCGGACAGCTCAAGTGACAAGGAACTGGGTGATGCGTTAGCTCTACAGCTAGAGGGGATGCGACCAGTTTGCGTCATTCAAGTGAGGTGCTGTTAGTTTTTCTTTGGGAGACGCCGGATCACCCAAGGCGGACACGAAACACCACCCAAAGCACTATTTCACCGAAGTCTAACTCGGCGAGAGCAGTGAACGTATTGGACGTGGAGTGAGGGTTACTCACTGGCGTGGGCAAGCACGGTCGGTCGGAGAAGTCACTCAGATCCCGCGTGGGCGAATTCGACCGTTTACGAACTGGGCGGCTTCGCCTCCCACGCCCGCCGCGCGGTCCCGAGCTCGCCAGGCGGCTGCTACTTGGTTACTAAGCACCAAGCGCAGGCGGTTGAAGACAGCCAAGATGTCCTGATTGCCAGCGTCCCCCATGGCCACCCGAGGATCGAGAGGCATCGCGCCGCGACCAGACAGGACGTCCTGAGAGAAACAGAAAAACCGTTGCCGGCCGCTCAGAGACCAACAGCCGACCTGCAGCTCGCGGCAGGAGGCTCCGCCGGCGCCCCGCCCACCGCGCGAGCCCCAGCCACTCTCTTTCCGCCCCGCACACAGGTGGTCTCTGGCCCCGCCCCCGGAGTTGCCCGGGAGCTCCTCGTCCTGCGGATGGTCTCACAGCTTCGAGCTCGGGGCATAGAGTCTGCTCCGGCGCGCCTGCGCCAGGCGCATCAGCTTCCTCCGGATAGGCGTTTCAGAAAAGTTGTGCGGTGGCTGACTAGGACTCTCCCCTCACACTGGATTGTCACTCTTTTTATTCTCAGCTAAAGCCAAACCCTGAATCTGTGGTAGAAAGTTCGTTTTTTGTAGAGAGAACTTTTTAGGCTTCTGGATAGTAGTAATTAAGAGCACTGGGTGCTCTTCAAGAGGACCTGGGTTCGATTCCCAGCGTCCACATACCAAGGGCTCTCACACCCTCTTCTGGCCTCCACAGGCACTGTACACTTGGGGTACACAGTACATATGATTTTTATTTTCTACAGAGTGTACTTTGCATATATATTATAAATATGTTGAGACGGGGTCTTATGTTGTCCAGGTTAGCATTATGTAGTCCATGAACTCATTATGCAGCTGAGGGTGAACTCGCCTTTTTGATCCTCCTGCTTCCACAACGTAAGTAAGTGTTGGGATGAGAGACACGCATCACTGCCCCTGATTTTTTTAATTAAACAATTTTTCATTCAATAATTTTCATCATGTACCACTACCCCCTTGCCAACTCCCAGATAGATCCTCCCCAGTTCTTCCCACCCATCAAAACAAAACAAAAAATCCAGATCCCCCAAACAAAATCCCCAAAAATACCACTGAGTTTTTCTGTTGGCCACTGTTTTCTACTCCTGGGCATGAGGGCCTTCCCTGGAATGAGGCAGATAAACCAGTGAAACATTAATTATGCATGTCTGTGTATATGCATGTGGGTACCCTGAGAGTCCTGGAGCTGGTGAAAAGAACTCATAGCCTCTGGAAGAGGAGTGCTTTCTGAAACCATGAGCCATCTTTGCAACAGCCCAAGCTTAAGTAGCACGTGGGGCTCCATCCCAACCTTACATGATACCAGGACAGAGTTCGACAATACATAGAACACAAGTCGGAAGGTTAGGACTCTGGAGCAGGTTCCTCTTTTACTAGGGTGAGCGGAGCGGAGTTGGAAAACGTGGCCTCGGGTAAGGTGTACTGGTAGAAGTAAAACAGGTTTGAGAGTCAAGTTCAGTGCTGCCCAGCTTCTGTCCCAGTCAGCTGGCTGCTTCCCAGTCTTGGGTTTTCAGCATTTTCTTCTCTAGAGGTGGGCCATTTGCTCATCTGTTCTGTTAACGGTCCCTAAAGAAGCATTTTCTTCTGTCTTCACCTTAGGTAGGGCACCAAAGATAACGGCTAGACAAAACAGACCAAAGTTCCACCCAGATCCAGCAGACAGAACCTACTTAGCTTTAATTAGGGTCATTTACAGGAGCACTGGGGGGTGAGTAGAGCATTATCTCCAGGTGAGTGAGCAATTATGGGCAGCACTGAAGAAAAGCTCCCACCCCCAGGACCACTGCTACTCTAGCTGCTGGAAAGGACAGGGCTTAATGGGCCTTGAGGAGCTGGAGAGGTCTAGTGGGCCAGTTTGTCAGCTGCACGCTGGCTTCTCGTGTACTGCCTGGCAGGGCTGCTCAGTCAGCAATGGCCTGTGTTGTGTTCAAGGACAGAGTATGACAATACAAAGAAAGGGTTAGTGCTGGAAAGTAACTTCCAGTCAAGTCCTCCAAAGGCCTATGGCACACATTTCCACTCCAGAAAAGGGAAGACTCACTCAGCCTGTCCATTGAGTCGGTCTTGGGAAAGTGCGGCAGCTGCAGGAAGGGTGTATTATGACTCAAAGCTGGACTTGGTCCAACTGCCACGAGAATGAAAGGTAAGTGTGCCCAGACAGTCAGAGACTGAATCCTAGTGAGAATAGGAACAGCTGCTGTCTGGAAGACACTACCAGTGACTAGTGTTGAAAGAGAACACATGACTTTTGTGTAGGCCAGACACAACTGGAAATAAACTCACTGAATCGTGAGCTGCCTCATTTGATTCTACTAACCTCTGTACTCTCAGGCTGCGCACACCTAAGACCTTGACAAATAGTGATTTTCTGGGGGTGGGGTAGAGGTGGGGGTGGATGTGACTGGCCCCTTTAATCCTAGCATTCTGGAGGCAGAGGCAGGCAGATCTCTGAGTTTGAGGCCAGCCTAGTCTACAGAGTTCTAGGACAAACAAGGCTATACAGAGAAATCCTATCTAGAAAAACCCAATAAATATGCAAATTTAGAGATTGTTTCCTGGATTGGTAGCTAGATTTTAAAAAAAGAGAAGCTAACACCTCTTATTAGAATAGCTTCATTTGTGACACACACACATACACACACTGGTTTTTGTGAGACAAGGTTTTTCTGTGTAGTTTTGGAGGCTGTCCTGGAACTCGCTCTATAGACCAGGCTGGCCTCGAACTCACAGAGACCTGCCAGCCTCTGCCTCCCAAGTACTGGGATTACAGGTGTGCACCACTACCACCCAGTCATTAGCATATTTGTAATTTGAGGCAAAAATAACTGACATGAAACACTGGACATTTTTGCTGTGTGGTGTGTAAATGCATGTATATGTGTGTATATACACACCGCACATGTGTACACTTGATTATGGTAGCTTAAAATGTTTTCCCTCACAACTCTCCACCTTATTCATTGAGGCAGGGTCTCTTACCTGAACCTAGAGCTCCCACCAGCTAGTCTTGTTTCAGGGATCTTCTGTCTTCCTTGTCTGAGGGCTGAAATTATAGGCAGGCTTCTATGCCCATCCAGCATTTATATAGGTGCTGGGGATCTGAATTCAGATCTTCAGGCTTGCAGAGCAAATGCTTTCTCCACTGAACCATTTCCCAAGGTCCCCAAATTCTGATCATTATTAGTGCTTATAACATTATTATCCTCAAATACTAGAAACACAATATCCTTCAGTTGAATGAATGAATCCAAGCATGTATACAAAACTACATGGAATAACGTGGAAAAAAGACCAATTTTCCTTTTCATACATATGTAGTATACATGTGTGTGCATGCTCACATGTAAGTGCATGCACATGTGCAAATGGGTGTGTACATGAATACATGTGTATGTGGTGGTCCAAGGCTAATATTGGGAATCTTCCTCAATTGGTCTTAACCGTGTTCTTTGAGGCAGGGTCTCTCAACAAAACCCGGGGCTTTTTGATACCTCTAGCCTAGCTAGTTAGCTTGTTCCTGACTTGCTCTGAAGATGCTGTCTCTGCCTTCAAAGGCTTGAATTACAGGTGGGATACCACACCTACCTGGCACGTTCTGGGAGTTCTGGACATCTGAGCTCCAATTCTCTCAATCACTGAGCCATGTCTTCAGCCCCAAAGGCTACTTTTCAAACGATTCTACTCATAATACATTTTGGAAATGGCACAAAACTAAAGAGAAGACAGATCAGTACAAGTTGGGCATGGGAGCTATTGACTGTGAGGAAGCTGAGGCAGGATGACTGTGAGGTTGAGGCTAGTCTGGGCTACACAGCTAAGACCATGAGAGTATAAAGAAGTCGACTAGGAAGACGGGCAAACAGGAGTTCTATATTTTGATTATTGGGGATAGTGACAAGGGGAGAGTTGTACGAAGGGCTGCAGAGAGGAGGGGCATTTCAAATTAGATGGCCTAGCTAGGTGACATTTCCTTTTCAGACAGGATCTCATTATGCGTCTAGAATTCACCATTTAGATCAGGCTGGCCCCAAACTCAGACTGATCCCCTTATCTTTGTCTGCTGAGATTAAAGGTATGCACCAGCATGTCTGGCACTAAGTGTTGTGGGTACCAGTGGGTACAGGCAAGGGGCCCAGTGCTGTGTCCTCTGAGGCAGGTGCTACCAGGCCAACAACAGACCAGCTTGAAGGAGCCTGGGCTATCATGCCTGATCTGAAGCTTACTCTGTTGCATGGCAGCTTTTCTGCTTTGGACAAGTGGCTCTCGGTGCCTCAGTTTCCTCATCTATAAAATAAAGTTAATGCCACCTAGTGCACTGGGCCACCATAAAAGTTAAACAAGGCAGCAGATGTTAAAAGGATGGAGTGTCACACAGAGTGAGACACAGATGTCTCCTAGTGCTCCGTTTTAGAGATGAGCAAAGCAAAGCTCAAGAACTCCAGAGCTGTCTGCAAGGGCTCAGGTGACTACGGTCATACAGCAGGATCCACGATTGGGTACAAGATCCTGTCACGTCTGACAGCACATCACAGCCACTTCCTAGAGAGTGCTTCCTAGCTGTCCTGGGGGGGGTGGACAGGACCCCACAGGCCTCCTTTATAAGGACACTGATCCTACCATAGGAATCTTCCCCTCGAGACCCAATCACCTCTGCAATATCTTCTTTTGAAAAGCTATCACTGTAGCGGGAAGGGTTTTCAACAAACAAGACACATTTATCCTGTAATGGTGGTATTCTGGCCCTGAGTCTGGTACTTCACTCCCGGGCTGGGCTAGGTTGAATTTGGCCTGTACTTTGGAGCCATCTCTACCCTGGTTCTGGTTCTTTCTACTGGAAAATTTGGGTCTGGTTTTGTCTTGGCCCACGGGATTCAAGATTCATTAGACTCAGTACAAGTTAAATGAAGTTTATTTGGAGAGATTACACTTACACAAGAGGCGGGAGGCTGCCACAGGTTCCAGCTCCAAGGATCCTCCCAGCTGTTCCCTGTGACCCGACCAGCAGCAAGAGAGAGCTCTGGGGTCTGCCACCCCAGATCTAGTCCTGTCCTCCATCAAGTCCTCACCTGTGACCACGCCCAAATGGGCACGATCAGCGCTACAGGTATGGAGGGGGGGAGATATCTTACTACAGTGGCACCCAAAGGATCAACACACAGTAGGTATGCACAGGTATGGAAAAGTGGCTGCTGGTCTTGTTCTGTTAGGTCAGGGGAAACAGGGTGGCAGGACATGGCCCTGAGAAGAAGTCTTGTGTTTCAGCTGGTGTGCCCCAAAGGAGACAGGCCTATCAGCTGTGTGAACACGAAGTTGGATGCAAAGCAAAAGGCCTGTCAAACGCACGAGATCAACTGTTTATTGATTTGTTGTTGTTGTTGTTCTAAAATACTATACACTTAAAGGGATTTCTAAATGTTAAGGACTGCAGCATAGGAACAAGGGTTTCTGCTGGTAAGTTGTCATGATACACAGCCACAGTGAAACAGGGTGCTCATGGCAAACACCGAAGACACGCGAGTTGTTGATAAGCAACAGTGCACACTGAGCTAACAAAATAAAGCCTTCCCCCAGCCTATCCGTGGGGCTCAGAACAATCCCACTGCACTTGAGGACAAGGGTACCTGGAGGGATTTGTGCTGGGGGCGGAA